GTCTGCAGTAAGTGAAAGCGGTGTTCACGTACTCTTGAACAAAACAAAGCAAAAATATAGAAGAAAGAAAAAAACTGTAGCCACAACGAAGAACAATGGTTGCATCCGTCAAATGTTTGATTTACGTTTGCCGATGCCTTTTAGGAAAGTGCAGATATTTTTGGCAAGACATGAAGCCTGCTTAAAATTTAACTCTTTCGAATGTCTTACGCAAAAGCATGGAAAAAAAATTTTTTTCCTCAGCAATTTTTAGAGAACAAATTTGGATGGATCTAAAAAATCTCGAAAAATGTAAAAAACTGTAAAAAAAAGTACTGAAAAAAAATTCCGGATCAAATTACGGTAAAAAGTAACTGAACTCAGGGTATCGATACTTTTTACCGTGAAATTCATTTTTACCAGAAAATGTAACGAAATAAAAATCTGACTTACAGTAGTTTTTACAACGATAATTATCGTAAAATCACCGAATCATCTTAATCAAATAAATATTACTGGAAAATTTACGGATTTAATATTTCAAGGTTAAAATGGATTTTATGAATGATGCACCCAAAGTGACAGTACTTTATACTGTAATTTAATTTGATATTTTTATAGTGCTCAAAAACAGCAAAAATGCCACTGAAAATAGCAAAAAATACCCTTAAAATAAAAAGGACTTTTTAATTAAACAAAATTTCAATTTAAAACGTGATAAATTTCCTAAAATGTCATATAACACATAATTATATAATATATTGAGAAATTAAGATGTAATTTTCATTGAGATCAAATGGTTAATGCAATAATAACAAAAATTCAGAATTTATTGGATAATGAACTTTGAAGGACATTATAGGAAAATGAACTTTGAAGAAAATTAGTATAGCTCAGTTAAAATGTCTGAAATTTGTAAGAATGAACTACAATATATTTTTAAAAAATGTGCTAAAAGTGAAAAAAAATTGCTCTAAAATCAAAAATATATATTCCTTTATCTCGATTTGTTGTTGTTGTTGTTAATTTACGTCGCACTAGAGCTGCACAATGGGCTATTGGCGACGGTCTGGGAAACATCCCGGAGGATGTTCCGAAGACATGCCATCACAATTTTGATCCTCTGCGGAGGGGATGGCACCCCCGCTTCGGTAGCCCGACGACCTGCGCGCGAAGTCGAGCACTTTACGGTAGCACAGTTTAACGAGGACCAATACCGCACACCCTCGGTCCCTACGTAGACTGATCCAAGTGGTCACCCACACGCACACTGACCGTAACCAGTGATGCTTGACTTCGGTGATCTGCTGGGAACCGTGTCTTAACGATCAGTCCACTGCGGGACTCCTTTATCTCGAAAAACGTATTAAAGTACCTAAAAATGCTCCGAAAGAGATGAAGTCCAAAAATGAATTTGTCATCAAAATCCAAACTTCAGTAATTAGAAATAAAGTCTACGCTAGTTGTAGTTTACCTGAGAGAATGATCAAATAATGGCAAAATATGTATATTAAAAAGAAAAATTTTAAAAAGCAAAAAATTTTTTTTTTAATTTCACTTATTTAAAACTAATTGATTTGTAATTTTTCAATTGTTTTTAATACTTAATTTATAATTTTTAATTTTTAGCTCTTTTTGCTTATTGTACGATATTTTAATTCATAAAGCAACACTCAGAAGACTCAAATAGTATGATATTTCGAAACTAAGAAATAATCCAGAAGTTTACCTAAATCAAATCTCCTTTTAATAATTTTTCACTCTAACTAAAAATTTCAACAAAAGGGACAAAAATCAAGTACACAAACATGCGCTTGACGAGATATATTTTCAGAAAAATCATTTTTTAATTCATAAAGAAGAAAAAAAAACCACAATGGCAAAATGTATTAGCATTGAAAAAAATTATGTAAATGATTTATCCAATTTAGTTAATATTTTTAATCCATCTGTTTGATTAATTAAATGAAGGGTGTTTGAATTTTATTATTGAAATTGATTGATTACTTTATTTTAGTTAAATAATGTTGCAATCAGTTAATTGAATTATTGATTACTCTATTTTGGTTTATATTGTTTTAATTTCATTAGTTGAATTAGCATTAAAATTCTTAAATTAATTTAAATTGATTTATTAATTTTTTATTAGAGTACATTTCTTTAATTTATTTTATCTCATAAATGAGATTAATTAACCTTAAAATGACTCATTTAGTACATTAAAAAAGTTTCAATTAGTTGCTTTCTTCTTATTATTATGTTATTATTTTTAATTAATCTAGAAAGAAAGTAAACAAAATCTAAGTGTAAAGAACCTAGCTAACTTCACGTAGTTTGCTCTTATTATACCATTAACAAGTTCAAAAAGATACAGATGCAAATAAAGATAAAAAAAAACAAAATAAATAATGTTTTTTGTTTTTCAAATTTTTATTTTTTAACTATTATTCTCCACTACAAAAACGTGGCTTTTAAAAATATTATTTTTTATTTTTATTATTTTTTTGTACGCACTTTACAAAACTCAATTTTTTCACTCACTGTACACAAAACTTTTCAACTGACATCTGACACTAATTTGAAATAATCGAATCGACAACAAAAGACAATCTCTAGTGAGTCTATACGATTTNTTTTATTTTACTTTGTATGTCTTCTTTTTCTTCATTTTCATGCATTGTCATCCAATTCTGAACTAAGTGCCAAATTTGAAGTCTGTAGCTAGTCGGGAAGTTATTTTAAAATCGATTGCAAAATTCCACCCAAACAGACATACACGAAGGCAAGTTAATGTAAACGTGGTAAAATAAAACTTTCCTTATAAACTTAAATAACTATATATTAAAATTTTTGTCATTTGAAACAAAATACGACTACCAAAATAAATTTTATATCTTCATGGAGACATAATTTTTACAAACAATCTATACGTTTTGAGTGCTAGAGTTGCATTTTAAATACTTTGGAAAAGAATGAATCCATAAAATGCATCGGAAACATTTTATTATTAAAGAAAAGTGCTTGGAGAATATTGCTTCCAAATCAGACAACAAAATCAGCTAGTTCAAAAAGCAAATGTATAAATATGTTAATTTCTTAGCTTAACTGTCCTTTCTTATGAGCTTGTTTTCCTACTTGTGCCGATTTATGACTTTTCTGGTTGAAATCATTAAATCTTCCTTTCTATTCAAGTATTTTTTTTTTTAAAGGAGGAAAAACATTTTTCGTAAACAAACAAAAATATATATTACGAGGGAATGAACCCTCAACTATATAAATATACATTTCACTTCAAAGAAAATTTAAAATAGTTTTTATTCACGTTGTAAACGAATTCGAATTAAATTATTATATTCCTATGAAAATAGTATTAAAATATAATGTCAAATAACTAAAATGTTAAAATATGCAAATGTAGTAAACAATAAATGTAAATGATAAATTTATAATAACAGTTTAGAGCATTAAGAACATAAATATTTCATTTTATAAGCGACGTTAAATAGCCGATCTGTATCAAATTCACGACTAGCCCTGTACTTTTGAAACGAACCCAGAAAACAAGGGAACGCTTGAATCAAGTGATACGAAAACTGACATTTTGTGGTGAAACTAATCGGCATTTGTGTTGCGCAAGCAACCTCTCACGGATAGCCCGATGACAATAAGATTCTAACAAATCCCGTCTACAGCTGGGAAAATCTTTTTAGCAAGTGGCCAGTGTGAGTAAGATGCAGTATTCAAAATGATTATTTATCGCCAGTATTTGAACCTGGGTTGCCTACACTGTAAATTCCGGATCAAATTACGGTAAAAAGTACTGATCTATTTTTACTGGATCATGTTTCGGAACAAAATACTGATATATCCCAATTTTTATAGTAATAATTATCGCACAATTACTGAATTATTTTAATTAAAAAACATTACTGTAAAAATTACGGAATAATATTTTACGGTAAAATGGATTTTACGGTTGATGCCCCCAAAGTATATACTGTAATTACACTTTGAGGGCAACATAACATTTTGTAATTACACACCTATTTTATGCTACAATTGGATCTGAAATTTTTTACGGTGTAGTTGAGAGGCTATTGCTCTAACCTTCTGAGTTAACTCTGCTGAAGAATAAGTCAGTGACAAAATTATGCGAACAATAACAGTAACTCGAGAAACACTCTTTCTTTAGGTTGCAGCAACCTTGAATTTTTTTTTCCACGGCGAATGAGTTAATAAATTTGTAGATATCATAATAACCCTTTTAGTAATGGTGCTACCTTCACAGCACAAATGATTTTCGAAACGTAAAACCGTATAGAATGTGTATCATTTTCCCAAAAAATTCAAAATGTCAAGCAATATTTTTTTACGAGCCAAAAATATTAAAAAAATCTGTAGGAAAACAAAGAGAAACAAATTAATGTTTCATGCTTCTAAGAATAATGCATAATACTTAGCAAAACTTGCTTTATGAAAATGTGTATCTCGCTGTTTCATTGAAATTAAGTCATCCATAATTTAGCGAAACTAAATTGCAAGCAATGCTTTTCCTTAATTTTTTTTTTTAATGTAAAGACTTCAAATATTTTAGAATAACGTAGATAACTTTCAAAATAAAAACAGTACTAATACAAACTTAGTAAACTACAAGTTTACTAAGTGAATTATAATAAATTCTTACTCATTCTTTGAACTTTCAAAATAAATAGTTTTACGATCTTTATTATTATTTATAATTTTTTTTTGTTGCTTTACATGTTTCTACTTTTCATTTTGCTTCACATATAATTTTTTTTCTATATAAGAATTTAAAATTCAACTAAAACTTGAAGAGCCCTCAAATCATTTTTCTATCTAGTGTTTCAGCATCTTTTAAAGCAGCACTGACGAAAGGTAATTATTATTTTATAAATAAGTTTTTTTTCTTAAAAAAAAATCTCTTAGATATAATGCCTTAGATAACGAAGCGAAAAGTAATACAGTACGAGGCAAAATTGAAAAACAAGCATTGTACTTACTGTCATTATAAAATATAGTACCCGTTGGTGGCATCCTTTGGTGAAGCTCCTTCTTATCCAGAACCTTTCTCCTTACTTACTTTGATTATCTGAAAAATAAAAATTTTTTATAACAAGCCAATACTATTTTCATGTTTTGAATTTAAATGCAATTATTTTTATATTCATCTAGATTTATAGTTACAAATGCAATTATTCTTATAGCAGTTTAACGTTTTAGTTTTAAATACAATTATTTTTTTCTTGCTTAATATTTAATTTTAAATACAAGTATTTTGAAAATTGTTTAACGTTTCAGTTTTAATACAATTATTTTTGTTCTTGTTTAATATTTAGTTTTAAATACAATTATTTTGAAACTTGTTTACCATTTAAGTACAATTATTTTTATTCTTGTTTAATGTAATTTTAAATACAAATATTTTGAAACTTTTGTAATGATTTAGTTTTAATGCAGTTATTTTTATTCTTGTTTAATATTTCCTTTTAAATACAGGTATTTTGAAACTTGTTTAACGTTTTAGTTTTAAGAGAATTATTTTTATTCTTAATTTTAAATTTTAAATACAAGTATTTTGAAACACGTTTTACGTTATTTAAATATCATTTTAATATTGGTATAATGTTTTATTTTTAAATAACTACAATTATTGTAATAGTTTAACTTTTCAGTTTAGAATACAATTGTTAACTGAACATTTTAGTTTTAAATGCGTTTTATCTTATATTTAATTGACTTAAATAAGTTGATCTTTCATTACTTTTTGTTGTTCTCTACCAGTTGTTTTCTGATTTGAAAATGCAGGTAGAAAACGGTCGCAGTACCCGCTTTTTTTTCAACGCAATTTTCGAATTACTCAACATTAAAAAGATAGTATATAGCAGGGGTGGCCCAACTCCTTGATAGTCGAACCATTATTCAAAATTTGAAAATTTTCGCGAGCCGCAATTAAATACGTATTTAAAACGTATGCAAAAAAGGTGTTAATTTTTTTTACATTATATTTATTGAAAATATTTAATTAAAAGTACAAAATCTGCGTATTGAATTTAATTATTAAACACATTTGTTTTACTTCTCTTGATAATTCTTTAAAATTTAGTGAATAATTGGTGACAGCACTTCTCAGTAATTCTTTGAGATGCTGGTTAGTTAATACTGATCGGTGTTTGGATTTCACGAATTTTAAAGAGGAATAATATGATTCACATAAGTACGTTGCTCCAAATATTGAAGTAATTCGATAAGCAGCCTTTTTTTAATTCAGGGTACTTCGATGCTGCTACAAATTTCCAAAATTCAGTAATCGACGTTGACTTATATTTTAATTGTAGAGCTTGATCTTCTTGCATCTCTATTAATTCTAATTCTCCAGATGCTTTTAGTGTCAAAATTATATTGGAAATGGAAAACTCACCTTGAATTGAACAACGTTGCACTTAGTTTTTCATATTTGTTCTCAGTAATTTAAAAGATATTTTGAAATACATACGGAACGATAGTAATTTAAAGGGGAACTGGAGTACATTTATCAAGAGCCACAAATAATCCTTCAAAGAGCCGCATGTGCCTCGCGAGCCGCAGGCCTCCCCTGGTATATAGTATATTCGAATAGAAAAATAATTACACTAATGTAAAGAAACTAACTTTTAATATAATTACTTGAAAAGCAGAAATCTTAAACAGCAGTTTTTTTTTTAAACTGGTTTTTATCGGATTATAAATCAGGGAGGAACATACATTAAAAATTTAGTTAAAATACGAAATCTATCTGGTAAAAAATATAAATATAAGTAATTTACATTTTGCATCAATCTTGCCTCTCAGGCTGATAGAAACTTTTATACAATGCAATATTGAATGTTTACAGCAATTAGTGACCTCATTTTTTTTGTGTAAACCACTTTTTAACTAGTGCAGTAAACCAAATCCTTCGTTGGCATTCAAACAAAGATTAACTGTTGGTAAAAACGTTAATAGTGACCGATTACCTAGAGCTACTAGAAATAGAAGATACTATTTTCTTTGAAAAAAAGAAAATAGATGAAGTTAACCTTCTAACCGGCGTGCTTGAGAGACACAGTAGAGAAGAACGTCGCTACCGTATTCTGATTTGTGAGCACTGCAGAAAAGCGGTTCTTTCTTCACTTCTTTTTACTTTCAGTCATTTTCAGAAGTCCGTTTTAAGCAGTATCGTCTGATAATGCTCAAAATTTATACATTTAAAGTATTCTAAACACATTTGATTTAATTGTAAGAAACTATTAAACAAGTTTCTTCCTTTTAACCCTTTGACGCATATGAGTCACCAGTATCCCTTTTATAAAAAAAAAAATGACGCTCAAATTACAAGCAAAAATATGTTTTGGTACTTTTTAATTACAAAAATCAGCCTAATAGTCACTAAAAAATCTGTTTGATTTTCGGAATTTTATTTAAAGTAAAATATAATATCCAAAGAAAGTAGTAATATCCACTCAAAAATTTTTTATTCACATTATAAAAAATTATCAATAAAAGAAGTAAATTAAAGAAATTTAGTAATGTAAATTAAAGTAATATAAATTAAAGATATTTTAATGATGAATAACTGTTTCACTTGAATCTAAATAACTACAAATAACTGCAAATTTGAAAACTTATTTTTCGGAAGATTTTACCTTTAACGCAGAAAAGACACAGGTTGTTTCTTTTGCTGTATTTCATAACCATAAATTAGTAAAATGCTAAATTAAATACTTTTCACTTATTTTGACCTAAATAAATATAAAATAATGAAAAAGTATGAAAAATATGTTTAATAAAAAAATTCTGCGTCAAAGGTCAATTTACGTTTTTTTTTTCCTTTTTAACTTCAATTTTAATTTTTATCGTTCAATATTGCAAATGTCGAAGATTCAGATTGTCGAAGAATCAGATTCTCCATTCAACAAGATTCAGATTCAGGCCATTTCACTTGGAAATCATTTCAGTAAATATTTATAGTTAAGATTTCTTTTTTTAAGAAAAAATATTAACTGTTTAAATTAATTGTAAATCTTATTAGTTGTAATAATAGTATTTGCTTAATTGAATATTATGCTAACTGATTTATGATTTTTGTTTTTATACTTACAAAAATTAACATTTCATAAAATTGAATCTAGGAAAGATGCGCGACGTGTCTCGTATGTGTGAGGGTGCACCTGCCAATGGTTTAACCCTTTGTAGATTAGTTACATTTATCCTTTTTTAGTAAATTATGCTGAAATACTTTTGGGATTGAGACTCATTTGAGAAAATAAATTTATTTATTTTTTCATGATTTTCAAGATTATTATTTTTGTCTGAAATTTCCAAACTTGAAGCTACTGTAAGAATTAGCCATAAATTTGAACTTATACTCTTATAAATAACCAAATTAGTAAATTCTGGGTTTATAACTGCAAATAAATTCAATGAGAAGTAATCAAATGAATATAAAAGCACAGCGCACAGCAAAAACATTAAAAAGGTAGTTTTTTAAGCAAAAAATAAAATAGTTTTTAAATTCAAAACCATTCACGATATAACGAATGTTGAAGACATGTAACTATTTCTCCCATCCGTCCTTATGATTTATGGATGAATATTTCGCTCAGCGGGCAAATGTATGCTTTGCTTTCCCGTTTACTAGTTATTTTGAGTTAGAGCGCCATCCGAGTGCATCGTCCTGGAAATCAAATCCGGCATCATCCGGTTCTTGATGGTTTGCATCACCATAGCAACGAGTAAAATTTCAGGATCAGGATTGGGTAGGGCGTTTCAATGTCAAGGTAAGCTCCTCCTACTAACAGTAGTTACCTATTGATTGACTAGTGCGAAACTAGTTTATACGTTTTTTTTAACGGCGACTGAACATGCCATTACAAGAAAATGAGTTGAAGATGAAAAGTCGTCGAAAAGTACGGCGCAATCGAAATTTTATTGCATTTCACGGAATCTTTGAAATTTTCGGATAACGAAATTTTCAGATAAATTCGCCTTTGGCTTTTGAGCGAATATATAACTGTTCGAACCAAAAAGTAGAACTAATTTGAAGTGATTATCGGATAAACTTTTGTCATCATTATTATTATTTTGAAATAATCTTATAACAATTTCGTGATTATAATTAATAAGTAATAAAAAAAAACTTTCAGGAAAGTCGTGATGGCTAAAGAAAATTGAAAAAAAAAAAAAACGTAAGGTATATAAGTATAGAGGGTGTTCTGTAATGACCACCCTGCTTAGAACATATTTTTTAGTATTCTCTTCAAAAATTAGATAAAAAAGATACGCATTAAAGATGCATATTTATACTTAAGCGAGAAAAAAAATAAAAACTCTATCAAAATTTCGTAAATCACTACTAAAGAAGGTGGGAATGAAAACATAACTTGCTTAATAGTCCAAGGAAGGGAGTTTAAAAGCAATTGTAAGAAAAATCCCCAAGTTTCAACAAATGAAATTCAAACTGGTTTTGATGTTTTCGCATCACTTCCGTCAGAAGCGAATCAACAGATTTCAAAGGTGTTTCGGTTTCTTTCTCACTTCAGTTGAGATCTCTCTAAATTTACACATTTTTTGTGGTCATTTTTGACATATTCTAAAATATATATATTAAGGGTGGTCAATAAGGGTTATCCTGCATGATAGCTTTGAGTTGGAAAATAGTTAAGGAGAAATTATGTTTCATATTATTTCATAGTAGATTTCGTTTCTATTTTAAAATTTCTCGAACAGACGAGTATCATATAAATTAAATTACCCAATTTTGTTAAATATTTGAAGTAATTTTAAGAATGTTTGAAAAACCAGCTTGAAAAGAACGGGGAGTTCGTATGGGTAATTGTTAAATCTTATAACTCCATTCAACATAATTCATTTGTCAAGTCATTTAATTTCGTGATATTGTAAGTGACTGGATAAATGATTTCTTTTTAGTAAGAAAAGGTTCCAAGAGCATTTTATAACCTCGTTGAACAACCGACTAAATTTTCAGTTTACGGCTACCAATGTTCAACTCCCTAGCCTTGTAATTTTGAACCCAATCCAGAAGACAAGGGAATTCCTGGAACAAGTATTGGG